ATGAGGGAAAATTAGACATTCAGTTAATTCCTACTGAACATCAACTAGCAGATATGATGACAAAAGCACTACAAAAAACTCGTCTTCAAATTTTGTCAAACAAATTAGGATTACAATAAAATATCTGGTTGACTGATAGATTAATTTTTAACAATTAACTAAGGAAAGTGTTGAAAATATATGATTTCGGTAAATATAATGTTGCAAATAAAAATGTAAGAAAGTTAAATGTTAAAATTTACCGATAGAGGGCAGTGAAGATAGTTTAAGTTTAAGTATATGCTATAATATTGTATTGAGAAGTAACAAAAACGTTAACTTTATATAATGTTTATAACGACAACATTAACTTGTAAACAAATAAGAAGTAAATATTAAACCAAACTTTACTGTATTTAATTTAGTATTATTGATAGAATAGAAGTTCAAGTAAATGTTTTAAATAAAACAGTGAATTTTTATCACGATCCAAATAACTAGTTGCACAATATTAATTTGGCGTGCAACTTACAACGTTTGTACAGCCATCTTATAGTTTCTGATTACTATTCAAGGTATCAAAAAATTATAAAATTAGAAAGACTAACATGCTAAATCCATTTTAGTATGACGTGGTATTCCAGAAATTATGCAGGTAATGCAACCCTTTAAAATGTTGGTGAAAGGTTATGGATTTCAATTAGGTCAACTAAAGTGAAATTCCTGATCTGGTGACGACCTCTGCGTGTTTCCGTGTGCACTAGTTTCGGAACCAAGAGAGAAGTTCAGCTACGAGCATATGGGACAATTCTGTTAACTCTGGACCTAGGACTCCGACCACAGTTCACGTAGCGATTTGTCGTGGCTGGCGTCTCGAAGCTAATCATTGTCTGTTAGATTCAACCACTCATCTCACCTCCCAAGGGAAGTTGATTGAGTGCCAGGTGCCAGTCACAGTCCATAAAGATTGTTTCTGGCCTGTCATTATTCCACGACCTGCTACAACAATTATAGACTTGGTACGTACGTTCAACCAAATTTCCGTCGCTGAAAAAGATATCCCTAAGGCAGCCATCATGACATCCTTCAGCCTAATCGAATTCACTCACATGAGGTTTCACTTACGCAATGTGACGCAAACCTTTCAGCATTTCATTGACGAGGTTCTGCAAGACCTGGAATTTTGTTACGTCTACATAGACGACATTCTCGTTGCGTCTGGAACATTGGAGGAACATCTGGACCACCTGCGGACATTATTCGGGAGACTTCTGCAATATTTAGCGATTATCAATCCGTGCAAATTTGTATTTCATCAAGTTAAGTTTTTTGGCTACTTTGTTTCCGGTACCGGTACATATTCGCTGCCTAAAAAATAGATGTAATTCGATCTTTATCGCTTCTGCAAACCGTTGAGTAGCTACGCCAATTTCTAGGCATGGTTAACTTCAACCGCAGATTCGTCACAAAATTCAACGATCTCTTACATGAAAATGTAAAGGGAAATCCACCCCATATCTTGGACACCGGAAACAATGTATTTATTTGAAACGTATAAAGGAGCTCTTTCGTAAGCTACACACCTAGCCCATCCCTCCTTGTCAATTTTGGCTGACGCCTCTAACTAGCGATTGGGAGGCATTCCTTATGTCGTTATGTCGCACTTTATGCATGTATGACGAAAAATTGTATATTTTTTGTAAATATTTAAAATTATTTCTTAAGCTTTCTTTAATATTCTTTTAAAATTATTTTCGTATCACTTCAAACATTATTTCAATGCTTTTCAACTTCTGATCTTGTGCATGCCTTTATTTTCTTTCAATCATTTTTACCAACCGTACCTACCTTACTAATAGCTGGTTTCTCCCTTAATTGCTTTTTCTTGAATTCTGTTCTGCCCTAACTTCTCAATTCTACGAATGGTTATAACTAGTATCATCGTTCTTACTCTCAATACCTTCCTTTCTAGAACATCTTGTTTACTAACAACCCTTTCATATAAATACCCCAAAATTTTCTTATCTAGATTCGGCTGAAGAGGACCTGAACCGATAGGTCCTATAACGGCCTGAGGTAGTGGGGTTTTAGTCGGTAGGTCCGAGGACACCTTCCTCGGGAATCCTACACTACCCGGTGGTACAGACTGAATATCTTTTGAAGACAGCCTACAGCCTCTACTACCACTCGTCACACCTGTAAGTTATTTCTGCTATTGTATACATTGTTTTTATTTTTATTTTGTTGTCTTTGTTATTATTACTTATTATCTTCTTTTCGTCGCCTTTTATTCATTTGTATATGTCATTCTTCTTGTGTCTTTTTGCTACTTGTGTTTCAATTTTTTTTTTGTAAAAATTTTTATTTGTTTGTATTTATTTAAATTGTTATTTGATTTGTTAGTGTTTTATTAGTTAGTATTTTTATTAATATTAGTATTAAAAGACGCTAAATACTTTTTCTGAATGAAAGTGTACTAAGTATTCTGTAACTAGCTGCGTGAATGAAAGTTTTAATTCGATTGGATAAGAAGACATTATTTTCCTTGAATACATTTCACAAATCGGTATATTTACAGGAAGCAATTGCCAAAAACTGTGGTGGTTGGGTCATTTCAAACAAAAGGTTTTTGGTTGAGACACCCTGTAGATATGTTTTTACATCGTACAAATTAACTGTAATCTAAATCTATCTTTTGTCTAAAAGTTTTGGATGGGAATGAACACAGTGACATGTTATTACCCATTTTAAACAGGTTTTTATTAGCTTGACCTGCCTGCATGAATTTTCACCTACTTCAAGACGTCCAGTTGATTTGAAAATTTGCACACCTATTAAAGACTGATGACAAGACAAAAATTTAACTATCCGCTCCCTGTGACCCCCTCTCCTAAGTGTGTTTTTATGCGTAGGAGCGAAACTTCGAAATGCGCCCATGATTGACTCCCCACCGCATAACCCCACTCCTCCCCAAATGTGTGTTCCACGATTGGGATAAAAATCGATATTTGACCTCGGCAGAGTATGACGATTGTGATTTTCAAAACAATTGTTGGGTTTTGCTATTGTATAAGATGACTGCCATGTGCAATCACTTCACTAAAATTAAACCGATTTAGATAAAAATTAATATCTGACTTCGATATGATGTACCGATTGCAATTTTCGAAAAATTTTGTGGGTTCGACTTACAGGACCTAAATATGATAATTGTATCCATATAAAATCCTCCCAATCCAATATATTGTCAGGATACGTGCTCAAAGGGAGAGTTCCATGTAGTAATGATGCATTGAATGAAATGTCTAGGTTACGAGAACACGAATAAAATAATTTTTGATTTACTGTAGAGTAATATACGAGGGTGGATTGATAAGTTTCCGGCCTGACCAAGAAAAACAAGGTTTTTAAAAATTTTTTTTTTTTATTTCTCAACATAATCTCCTCCAAGGCTGATACATTTCTCATAGCGGTGTTCCAGTCTATTAATGCCATCTCTATAGACTGATTCGTCAAGCTCCTCAAAATAACCATTTACA